GGAGTGTCTGGCTCAGCAAGACAGGGTGCTGGAGTCCTGAGCTGGCAGGGAAAACAGAAGCAGGGGTAGTCTTTGCACATCGGGTGGCAGTTCCCAAGGGGGTTTCTGTGATCCAACCCGTCACACCCAGCTCTGCTGGTGCCCCTCAATCCTGACCCTGCCCAGCCCAGCCCTCCTCATCTCCTGCCAGCTCTGTTGTGGGTCATTCTCCTGGCTGTGGGGCAGAGGGCTCAGGGCCATTCTTCTGATCGGATGCCCCCCACGAGGGCTGGGTCTGTTCAGCCCACGCTTGGCAGGCAGAGGTTTTGGCCGGGTACCTTGATCCCATCCTTCGCCCCCTCCTGCAGGTAGGGGATGATGGAGTTATTCCACAGGTCGATGAACCAGGTCCGGAAATCCTCAATCCCAATGGGACAGGACAGGAAGAAGCAGGGGCCTGCAGGAGGGGAGGGGACAAAGAGAGGCCAGTGAGGTGAGCCGAACAGACACAAGCCCCCCATCCGACTTGGCCTCTAGGACCTGCCGTGCACCTCCCCAGCCCTTGGCTACCAGGTCTTGGCTCCTCCCAGCCTGCACAGCCACAAGGGAACCATGATCCCAGAAGGTGCCTCAACCCTGCCCCTATGAGGTTCTCAACCCGGAACACCTGTCCCCTCCCCAGAGGAGGCCGCGCTCCCAACAAGGACTTGGACCAGCCTCAGCCGTGATCCCAGCCCCAACACCAGCAGGGCTGTGATGGAAAACACAGCACTGGCGCCTGGGCAGAGGTGGCTCCTGACCCTCGCCTGGAGCTGAGCACCCCCCCAAGTGGCCAGTCTGCCCCTGCAAAGGCTGCACTGGATGCACCCACCCCAAGCTGTTTGCCACAGCTATCTCTGGGGCAGGGGCCACTGGGGACGGAGCAGGATGGCGGCACTGGGAATGCTATCCGGCATTGCTGGGCAGCAGCTCCCTGAAAACATCCCCCGGAATTTGGATCTTTCACCCCAAGGGCTTTACAAACCAGAGAGACGTGCACTGAAATGCAGCCGCCTCTGGGATGGCACACTGGTGGAGGAGAGGCCGTTAGGGACCCAAGCCAGGGGACCAGATCCCCCTCTGCAGGAAGCACCCTGGCAGGCTGGCTGTATAACAGAGTGAAAGCGCCTGAGTGGAGCTGGGGGAAACAGGGCAAAAATAACCCACCCACAAAACGCCAAGAGTGCCTGGATTGGTAGGGATAGAAATGGAGCTGCTTTCCCAGAGCTCTGAAATATTTCCCATGACTTTTTTTTTTTTTAAATCAAAATCTTTATCAAAATCCTAATTGAAAAATGGGTCTTGGAATCTTTGGGTCACCCCAAACACTTGGTTTCAGGTGATGAGTAATTTTAATAATGGTTTTTGGTAACAATCTCGATGAAAAATTCAATATGAAATGTCACCCACCATAAATAAATAAATAAAAATAAAAAAGGTCAAAAAATGTTTGTTTTGGGGCAAAAAAGGAAATTTCTCAAGGAAAAAACAGCCTGGAAGTTCAAAAAATGTGTATCAACACCATCTTAGCACTCATCCTAGCTGGACTCCAAATCCCAGCCCATCTCACCATGGCGGTGGAGCTCCTGTGTTCTGACTCTGCCATGTCACTCTCAGAAGTCCCGCCTTCTGAAGGCAGTACTTCCTGCTGTGCTGCGGGAACCTGGCCAACAGATCAGGCAAATGCAGGGGATTGGCTTTGGCTCTTGTTTCCAGGTCAGTGGTAGGTTTGCCAACGACTCAGCAGACAGCCAATGGAAGTTGATTATTGCCTAGATGGGGCAAAGCATTTAGCCTTGCCCGCTCCTGCCGGCTCCTCCTCTGTGGGAAGGCCAGTGGCAGAGAAACTGCCTGCTGGGGCAGCTGCAGAGCCAATCCATGGGCCGTAGTGGGTCTGCTCCACTTCCTGTCTCCGCCCCGGCCTTGCCAGCTCCCACCCCGCTCACCGATGAGGAAGTCCGAGGTGCTGTGCTTCTCCAGGAAGGTGTGCAGGTGGTACCAGAGCTTGGGCACCCAGTCCAGCACCCGCAGCAGCTCTACCCTGTTGGCGTTGATGTCGCTGTCCGACTCGAGCAGCTTCCGGCGCAGGTAACGGACCAAGAAGCCATTGGCTGGCTCCACGTTGTTGGAGAAAGTCAGCATCCTGGGGGACACGGAGGGCTCAGCGCTGCACATCTAGACAAAACAATCACCCCCAACACCGCCTTGCACACCACATGTCCCCACAGGCATTGCCCCCCGCATCCCCCACGGCCCCCTGTGCACTGTATCCCAGGCACCAGCCCCTGCACCCTACCCCTGGTATCAGCTCCAGCATCCCCAGCGCAATGTACCCCCAAGCATCAGCCCCAGTGCCCCCTGCACTCCTCAGGGCACGGTACCCTCAGAGCTCCCTGGAGCCATGTCATGCGCTGCAACCCCAGCAGTGCTCACCCTAAAGGCCCCTAAAACGCTGCCTCCCAACGCACGCCTCGAGTGCTCTCCAGAGCCTCCCACTGGGGTCGATGGGGGGATCTGTTTCCCTGGTCAGCAGGAGCAGGATCGGGCCTGTGCCACATCCCCAACAGGTCATGGCTTCCCTCCAGCGTGGGAGCCCCTGGGTCCCAGGCTGGGCAGGCACAGAAGCAGCACCCTCAGGGGATGGAGGGGTCAGGTCCAGGGCCCTGCTCAGCCTGGGCCTCCAGGGCAGACAGCGGAGGAGGGACCAGCTGCTGTGCGGGGACCCACAGAGTAGCTCTTGACCCCCACCCAGGCCCTGAGGTTCCCGGTACCTGAAGCTGAGGTGCAGGCCATGGTTCGGGGTCATCTTCACGGGCTGGTTGGTCGTCCCGATGATGTAGGGGCTGGGGAGAGAGAGAGACAGACAGGGCCTCATGAAACTCTGCACAGCTGCCCCCTGCTTTGGGGTTAACGTCGTCACCCATTGGGGCTGGCATAGAGGAGAGGAAGGGACAGCGATCCCAATGTCTCCCCCTTCAGCAGGAGGAGAAATTGGCCTGCTGCCCCCCATCTTGTGGAAGAGAGGCCCAGAAAACAGTCCCCAGCCTCCTCCCTGCCACCCAGGAGACCCGCCAGGGGACTCGTGTGGGATGCTGGTCCTGGGCTTGTCCTCTGGCCAGGGGAGGAGGCTCCCCAGCTCACAACCTTCTGGGCTGGGCTTTGGGAGTGCAATGGCCCTGTGCTAGGGGAGCTGCTTGGGCCCCACTGCTGTCCCCCCAGGCTTCTGCAGAAAAGGACCTAGGGGTTACAGTGGACAAGAAGCTGGATATGAGTCAACAGTGTGCCCTCGTTGCCAAGAAGGCTAACGGCATTTTGGGCTGTATAAGTAGGGGCACTGCCAGCAGATC